GTAGGAGTTACGGTGTGGTGAATTTAGGTGTGGTGGATTCAGGTGTGGTAAGTTAAGTTATGGTGAGAAAGTTGAGGTGTGGTGAATTAAGGTGTGGTGAATTTTGGTGTGGTGAGTTGAGGTGAGTTAAGGTGTGGTGAGAAAGTTGAGGTGTGGTGAATTAAGGGTGGTGGATTTAGGTGTGGTGGATTTAGGTGCGGGGGTTAAGGTGTGGCGAGTTGAGGTGTGGTGAATTTAGGTGTGGGGAGCTAAAGTGTGGTGAATTAATGTGTGGTGAGCTCAGGTGGAGTAAGTTTTTAAGTTAAGATGAGTTAAAGTTAAGCGGTTATGATTTTTATCCTTATCTTCATCTTCATCTTCATCTTCATCTTCATCTTCATCTTCATCTTCATCTTCATCTTCATCTTCATCTTCATCTTCATCTTCATCTTCATCTTCATCTTCATCTTCATCTTCATCTTCATCTTCATCTTCATCTTCACCTTCATCTTCATATCCACCTTCGTTTGTATTTAGGTTTCTTTACTTTTATTCTAATCTTTGCCTTTATCCCTTTCTTCTTCTACATATTCAACTTTACCTTCTTCCTTGCATGAATCTTAATCTTCGTAAATCTGATTTCTAAACTGCTGCTTAGCAGATTTCTTTAATTCAGTATCAATATTAAAGCAATGTCATTGATGCCACATAAAGTGATATCATGTCATGTGGGGAAATTGGGTGTGGTGGTTTGCGATGTGGTGGAATTGGGTGTGGGAGTTACGGCGCTGTGAATTCAGGTGTGGTGGGCTTAAGAGGTGCGGTGAGTTTAGGTGTGGTGAATTTAGGTGTGGGGAGTTAAGAAAAAATTGCCTGCACATCAGCATCAAAATACCTTTCTAATGATATATAATTGTTTATACCTTAGAAGTATAGTTTAGCCGTAAAAGGGGTGTAAAGGAAACATGATTGCCTATTTATATAATGATGATATCTGTGTGTAGCTGAGTGCGCAAAGATGCTTGCCACAACTTGTTAATATCCAGAGATGGTCAGAGTTCAAATGCCGCTGTGGCAACATGCAAACAAAATTTTTTTTTTTTTTGTATTTATCTTGATTATTCACGTCACGGATGCTCTTTCAGAACGAACGCGGTCATTTTAATATGCGCGTAATTGAATTGAATATTTGTCAATATAAAGTACTTTCGTTGACGTTTATAGTAAGATCAATTATGTTCCTGATTGATTTGAATATTTTTCCCCTCAGTGTATGAAACACCGATTATTTTTTCTAATTTTACGCAAAACTAATAGACAAAATTTGCGAAATTTTTTTTTGCATTGATAATAAAATTATTCTTTTTTATTTTTCGTTTTTTTTTTCCAAATTTTAGAAGTTTTCTTGGGACTTGTATGGATTCTTTTGGGACTTTTCGATGTTGCTAATGTTTTTATTTTGTTTTTTTTACCTTTCGGTAAACTTCACGTTCTGCAGTAAATTTTAACCATTACTTTAATGATGCCTTAATATAAAACCGAAGAGTTATCGGTTATTAGGCTCGCTATTTCATTTATGTTTGCTCAAAAAATATGCAAAAATAGATAAGTTGCCAAGCGATCTTTAGTTTACTTGAAACTGATTTTTTCGCTTGAATACGCTTTGATTCTGCACTTCACATATGCTTTTTATATTAGTAAAAATCAACAAAAATCGAAAACTTGGAACCTAACGAGTAATATATAGAAGGCACGTCTCCACTTGAATAAGCTTTCAAATGTTCATTTCATGATAAAAATATTTATATCATGGTTCAGTTTGAATAATTTTTCTTTATTGTTTAAACTAATTTAACTAATAAATATTTTGGTGAACTTCATGTAATGAAAAAGGGTAAGCCTTTTGTAGGCGCAGTGGCGTAACGTAAATAGTACATATTTATTTTGACGTAGAATACGTCTTACGTTTCGATATGGAGGCTATGCTCAAATGTTGTAGTTGTAACGCTTATTGCATGAGAACTAATGAAGCGATTTCAAAGAAAAGGGTGGCGTTTCATAGATAAATTTCTAAACCTTCCCTGCAGGGAAAGCTACTAGTTGTGAACTAGAATTCTACCAGTTTGCGTTTCAGCCCAACTAGTTCACGTTCTATCCTTTTTCAATGTTAGCGACTGGTATTTTTAGCATTGCGATGTCCTACGAGATGTCAATTGCCAGGCTATGCATCAGCATCTACTAGTAGAAATACTAGTAGCATCATACTAGTTGATGAGATAGTCTGCCAATTCATACCCCGTGAAAAGCATTAGTATGCCTTTTTGATCGCGGCGCTCCAACAGTCGCAATGGCTGACAGAGCAAAGCACTCGCGTGGTATGCCTGAGGTACCAGGTTCAAGCCCTGGCGCAGGGAAAACTTTTTTATTTATTTTTTTTATAATATTTCTTTTATTTATATTTCTTATTTAGGTTTTTTTTTTGTTATTCTTAAAATATGTATATTTTATTCATCTATTTTTTATGGCACATTGTTGTTGTTTCTTTTTTTTTGTAATGCAACTAGATTTTTAAGTTTGTTATTTATATTTAAATTGAAATAATTATTCCTACTTACATTGATCTAACTTTAAAAATCTTAACCATCTCCAAGCGGCCTCGAACCTGCGATCCCAGAACCAGAAGCACCCTGCAGTGAAAAGCCAAACCAGTTAGAAAAAATACTAGTTCATTAACTAGTATGTGCCTACCAGTTCGCCAATTTCGAAAAACTTAGGCGATCAGCGACACCTGCCTTTGAATTGCCAAAGCCAAAAATTGAACGCAATTAATCGCTTTTCTTACAAATGTCGGCTGTGCCGTCACGTGAAGACTACTGGTTCCGGTTCTGGTTCTGGTCCTGGTTCTGGGATCGCAGGTTCGAGGATTATTCCGTGAGGCAAATATCGGCACATTCCGACCGAAAAATTACACTGAAATTGGCACAACGTCGAAACCGGTTTGTCTCCAAACCGAATTTCACAAGGGATGATGGAAAATCGTTCCACATTACATCATACTCCTACCCTGTCGGAAACACCAACAACGAAAATGAGAATAACGGCACATTCAACAATTAATTGTAAGAAAAATATTTTCTAATAAAAAAAAATCATTATAATTGTCAATAGCATTTTCAGTCTTGATAATTTATCAAGAAAATAGATTTAAACTTCTGTGCTAGAACTGGGAGTTCTTGATAAAAAATCAAAAATTGACAAATTATAAAAGTATTGAATTTATTAAGTCACAGAAAAGGGTATATACACATTTATTGTGAAATATAGCAGTTTTACTCAATCTATTTTTTTTTCTCAATGAAGATGTGAAGATTTTGGTAGTGAAGATTTGGTAACTTTTGGTAACTTTTCTTAAGAGATTTTGGTAGAAAAAAATGTTGGCGAGTGGCAACCATGTGTCGAAGCTGCCCAGCTCTGCTTTACAGTCTCTAATTTTTCCAATTGATCAGATTACTCTCTGAGTATCTAGTATCTAACTGCTCACGACTGGTAATTTATTTATACGGGCCGAATTGTGTGTACTTAATTTTAAGGCAAGAAAACAACCGACTTCAATTCTCGTATAAAATGTTATTCTTCACAAAACAATTATCGGAACTAAACCGAACTAATAATGGACCACCCTTGAGGGTACCGATAAAAAAAAAAATATTTAAGGCCGTCGAAAATTATCCGGTAATAAAATCCACGAATTGATGACCTCCACCTTTTTTGAAGTCGGTTAAAAGTACGTTAATCTCTTAACCTCATTTTTTTTTTTTTTTTGTAAACAATAAAAACGGCAAAAATATGGAAACAATCGTGGCGTGAAACGGAAACAATCCATTAACTAGTATATTATGTAATTGAATATTCCGCGACAATTAAATAAATTAACCGGTGGGTGGTTAGTGCTGCTTGTGATACTTACCAAGTCGGCAACAATGGGCTCCTCGATTTCAAGTCCTTGCAGCGCTTGTTCTCTACTCAGGTGCACCTCGTAGGACATAGTTGGTGTAACGAAGACGACACGATGTTTGCGCGACTGTAAAACATTCGCAATAACCATCTGGGGGAGGGCGAGAAAATATGAAAATAGAAAATACAAATAGAGATACTTATGTATGTAGAGTGGAATACAAAAAAAAAAAATATGAGCGACGCTTAAGTAGCTAAGTGCACTTGTTAATTTGTAGAAAGGTACCTAGACAGTTGTTTAAGTGCAATGTTGTTTTGTTGGCGCGAAAAAAAAGTAAATACACAATGTATGTACAACAACATATTGTACATGCATATTCATGTATGTACATTAAGACGTATCACGAAAAGAAAGTTTAGCGTGTGCCAGTCTTTTGAATAAATATACACTCCGCGAAATTCAATTAAAGGCGCCTAATTTCTCTTCAAAAACCGTGAATTTAAACCGCGAGAATGTTTTTTTTTTATTAGTTTAGACCACTTATTTCATTTACAGTTAACAACTAAAAAAAGTTGCTTACATATCCAATTACGAGCTCACAATGCAATTTAAAAGCGAAATTCTAAACTCCAGCTACGAAATTCAATCAAAGGCATTATTAAAAATGGTTTAGAAAACTAAAAAAAAATGTCAGAAAATGCTTATGCTAATAATGAGTCCATCCTCCAGATTTATTTATAACTTCAAAAATGCGGTTCGGCATCGAAAAGATCACTTTTTGGAACTCCGAATGCGGAATTTTGTACCACTCTTCAGTTACGGTGCTACGCAGCTGTTCTATCGACTGAAACTTTCGTCCTCCAGCGTATACTCGACGAGAAAGATTGCCCCACATGTTCTCAATCGGATTTAGGTCTGGAGATCGTGATGGCCACTCTAAAACAGGAATTTCCTTCTCTCGAAGCCAACTACGGGTGGCACGTGATGCGTGTATTGCAGCATTATCTTGCTGAAATGTCGCATTTGTGTCCGGTAGATCTTCCATAAAGTTAATCAAAACTTCGTCCAAAAGATTTATGTAGTCCTCCGAGTTCATACGTCCTGAAATTTTGCAGATTGGAGTCCTTTTGTAGTGGCTGAAACCAGCCCAAACCATCAAAGTACCTCCTCCAAAGTTTCGTTTGGTGGAAAAGCGCTCAGAGCCCCTCAAATCATGCCAATAGTAATTAAAACCGTCGGGTCCATCAAGGTTAAATTTTTTCTCGTCAGAAAATATAATATTTTTCCACTCCTCGGTCCATGACATGTGCTGTTTTGCAAAGGCTAATCTAGCTGTTTTGTGGGATTCATTCAATGCCGGTTTGGATTTCATTTTTCTCCAAACTAAGCGATCGCTGCTGGCTAAAATTTGTTGCACACGACGTTTACATACTGGTAAGTTAAGGTCTGATACAATTTTGGAAGCCGTTGCGTTTCTTTCCAGCCCAGCGCGAATAATAGCGGATTTTTGCCGAGGAGAGCATTTTTGATTATTTTTATTCGACCGATTAGTATTATAATTCTTTTTTAACTTAATCGCGTTATCTATTGCTGTAGCAGACCGACCCAATTTAGCCGCGATTTGCCGATTGGACATGCCTGTGTCCTTGTAAGCAAGGATCTGAGCAAGTTCCGCGGTTGTGAGCGTTTTTCCTTTTCCCATGCTTAATTTTTGAAAAAACACACGCGTATAAAGATTCAAAAGCTTTAAAAAATACTTAAACTTCAAAATGGCATCAAAAGAAAAACGATCTCGTTCTCAATTAACTTTTTCTGAAACTCAGAAACGACTACCTTTAATTGAATTTCGTAGGAGAATCAGCCACTAAACGGAAAATTTCACAAATACTTAGAAAAGAAGTACGATATTGGCATATTTTATGTGCCAGAATAAATAGAGGTTTAAAGACTTAAGACCAGAGCAAAAAGAGTGTGGCGTAATCGTTGCAACAAATATTAATGGTAGAAGTGCAAATGCCTTTAATAAAATTTCGAGGAGTGTATGTATGTCGAGAAAAAATTTTGTGTGTAAATTTTTTTATATACACTTTTTTGAGAGCTTTAAATTTATAGTATAAAAATAAAAATCTAAGGATAGCAATTCCGAAATTAGTGAAGGTTTTGAATTAAAACGGTTTTGAAGGCCAAAACGGTTTAATGGCCAATCATAGTCCTGAGCGAGACCTTTTCAGTGACATACCTTAAGATTTAAAAAATCGGATATAAAATAAGAAAGTTATAGCAAAAAAACGCGATTTAGCGGTTTTTAGCGGGTGCCTAAAAATATTTTTTACACCCAAAATTTTCTCTCGACAAAGTGTTGCAATAAAACTGACACACGTTAAACTTTTTTTAATTTCATATTTCGTGATACGTCTTAATGTATGTATAAAAAATTTAAAAAATAATTGATGTTTGCATATACAAAGCCAGGCCACAGGCTTCGATGCACGTGATTGCGACAGTTTCAGAAGTAAATACATACATACATATCGTCGTTTAAAGTACAAAACCGCGTATCACCAAAATGCAAAACCGCGTATGTGAGGTTGCAAAAGTTATTTTCTAGAGACTTAAAACCCCTCATATCATATTCAAAATGGTTCTCTTTTTTATAAGGCAATCGCATTTCTGGCAAGTATATTTCAGGACGAATGGATAAGGATTGACCCAAGAGCTTGTTGAGCAAATCCAATTTTTGGCAGCAGCAAATGTCAGTTACGCGGTTTTGTACTTTAAGCGACGATATGTAAATACATGGCGTGTGAAAAATGTGGATTTTCAAAACATGCCTATCTAGTATGTACATAAACTCATATTCATACCTACATTTGTACACAAAAAATGAAGGTCACGAGTGCAAAAAAGGGAAATTGTAAAAAATAGTTTTGTAAATAAATAAACTAAAACACAAAAAAAAAATATGTTGGCATTGAAATCCCACTAGACTTGGGTGACAATTTTACTGCAAACGCAGTTAGTTCGCATTTCTCATGCAAACGAACGACACTTAAACTTAGAGGCTGCTATAAATTAAGTAGTTTAGTATATATTTTCCCCGTTTTGTGTCTGTCACACGAAACATTCACATAGCACCTAAATATTTCATGGAAGTCGTTTTTTTTTGTTTGTTGAATTTATGGAATATGAAGAAATACATAGGCAGATTCTAAACAAAAATTCTAAAATAAATATCTTTCATGTCTGTTTTTGGTTTCTGGCACAGTGACTCAAACAAATTACCACGTGTTGATTTTTTTTTAATATTCGTAATGTTTTTTGAGCAAAATTTTTTGGTTATTTTTCCATAAAAATGCCGTCAGTTACAAACTTTATACAAATTTTAGGAAATTTCAACAAATTTTCATTAAAACGCAAGTTTCAACAGGCTAAAAAATCGCGTTGATTTTTAAGAATTTTTTTTTGCAGACTGCTTTTGCGTTTTTTTTTTTTTATAACAAATGCAATTTACAAAGTCTGGCGTTGATTTTTTTTTTAATTTTGTTGCTAATGTTCTCCCGCATTTTATTTCAAAATAAATTTATGCTTATACATAGGTATAGCAGGAAGTGCATAAATCCGTCACAAAACAAAATCTCAAATATCAATAGTCAGCTCAGCGAGCGCTGAGCAACGCCCTTGGATGCAAGGTGGCAAAATCCTTCTGGTCAGATCGGGGACGGTCTGGGAAGCTCTTGAGACTAAGCGAGTTACTGGTGCCGTAAGGCTGAACATCATCGATGACCCTTACTGCACCAGCTGCATGGAGGATGATGAAGTGGCATCTTCATCTCAATACCTGCTGTTCTGGTGCCCTGCCTTTGCGAGCCTAAGGTTTAAGCACCTTGGGACGCACTTTTCTCCCACTCCGATGAGCTGTCGAGAATGGACATCAGTCGACTGAAGAGCTTCGGTGTGAACACGGAGCGTTTCTCTTACAAGAAGTCATAGGTGTCGTCATTCTCCCTTACCTTCCCGCTATTTTCTACCCCTGCGTCCTTTTCACTCCCTGCTCTTAATGGGCATCACAATGGACAGCACAGTCGCGTTTAAGTGGGCCTCCATCTACGGAAGCAGCCTGATAACCAAATATAACCTAACCTATGACGCTTCATTAAGCACTAAAGCATCAATAAATTGACCTTTCCTCTATATTGATATGTACATATGTATATAAATATACAATTACTTATTATTATAAAGAGTCCTTATTATTATCCCAGTTAGCTAAGTTCAAGCAAAACTTCCTACAAAGTTAGCATATTTAAAAACACATAGCACAACCAAAGCACCGCCAACAAAGCAAATACTATAGTTAAATGTTAATGAAACCTAGAAGGAGAGCTTTATTGCGCTGTGAAAATTTGGCGTGTTAGTAGCCTGTTTAGCTGTTGTGCTCGACCGCTCGACCGCTCGACCAACCATCATTACCAAGCAGGCAGACCGACCACCAAGCCAACAGAGTACAGGCCACAAATGCAAATATTGATATTTTAAATTGCACAACACAATGAACTGCATATACTGTTTGTTGTTTGTGTGTGTTGTGTAGCGGAATTGTTAAAGCCAACTATAGAAATGCTAATGATTGGTATTGGCAAAGAATGCCGTAAAGGAAAAGCATATTAACATATTGTAAATATAGTACAATACATATTTGAGGCTGCCTTACTTAATACAATTTCAAGTGCACGTGTACTCACTCACCTTATGATTGTATTTGTATAAACTATCGCGCGCCTTGGTAATCAATAAATTCTCGTCAGTTTCCAATTTGAATGAGACAACAAATGCATGCGGCACCCAAAGGCTTGCCAATGGTGCTAACATTTTTGGCACCAACTGCAGCGAAATCGTCGGAGCACCTTGACCGGACTGGATTTTGTGAGTGGGCTGCAAATAGGGTGGAAATTAAAATGAAAGGAATTAAAGAGACTTCTTACGAAAATTAAGCAATAATTTACTAGTAGCAAATACGTTGAATGACATTGATTCAACTCATAAAATAGCTTATGCAAATATTAGCAATCATCAGTGCTGTAAAATTCAAGTACAACTACAGTCATAAATTCTCAGTATTTAAATACGACTAAATGCCAAATATAATTATTATTCGCTCCTACATAGTTACGGTGACCATTTGTACCGATTTTGGCGGCGCAGTACAGATTTTGAGAAAATTGTTACGCTGAATATGTTTTAAAAGCTGGGCAGAAGAAGTGTCCCGATTTTTTATATTTGTACCGATAAAATCCCGATTTTCAGTGTTTTCTTTTTAAAACCCTTTGCGCACCGATGCTACTTATAGGCAATACTGACATTTTGAATTATAAATTTTGTTTTTTTTGGATTATATTTTTATAAAGGTTTGTTTTAGTTTATACTTTAGAATGTTGTGAAGGCAAAAAGCTGAACCTCTTGCCACAATTATATAACCAATTAGTTTTCAGCACCTTTTCGCTGTGACCACTTGTGTAATATAAAGTTGTTCTGGAACATTAAAAACACATACACAAATACACATAATACCTAAATTATTATTTTTTAACAAAACGGCTAGTTTATAAAATATAATAAGTTAAATGAAATAACAAATTGAAGCCTTGACAAATGTTTTCGGTTTTTGTTAGGAAACTTTGTAAATAATTATAAGCCAAATTTTATAACGGTCAAACCAAAAATCATAACGTTCAAATTGTATACCAGTTCACATTTAAGGATTAACGAATAATAATACGCGGTCAAAAACGTTTTAGCCCCACCCAACACAATTCGGTCTTCAAAGGTTAATTTATTAGCAGTCTTCCTTTACTGAGGCCCGAAAACCACACTTAGCATCCCAACTTTCTGTGAACTTTGATTGTGTTTTATTCTGTCAAACTGGGACCCTCATCATTCTTGCTTAAATTTTTTAACGTTTTTTATAATTATTTGTTAAGTTTGTTGTCTTGTTTTTATCAAACCATCTAATTTGAACTTAGTGAAATTATAGAAACTGTATTAAAAGTTGATGTGTGTTTTTATTTTAAAACCAAAATTATATGTTCGGATTCGATACTTTAGAAATGTCGTGATTTCTGGCCACCGCATACATAAATAGAATTTTTTATTATTGGAAAAATGAGTCTAAAACTATATCGTCGTTATCAATGCAATTCTTTTTCTATGATCTTTTCAATGTTTGCCTCTATTTCTAATACGCTTTATTTGTATCTCTTTTTTTCTTTATTTTTAGTTTTATTATATCCGTTTCACTAGCGGGGCAAATGCAGCGTTATTTAAAAAAATAATTGCATAAATTTGGTACTAATTTTTGCTAACTAATTACCGAACTCTCTATCTAAAAAATGTTTTAAACTTGTTTTTACTGTTAATCGATTTATTGTAATTTTTGGTCGTAAGTTCATAACAACATAACCATTTTCACTTTAGGAAAACTATATAAAAAACAACCGATTTATCCGATTTTTTCTTAATGTCAAAATTGTAATTTCGNTAACCATTTTCACTTTAGGAAAACTATATAAAAAACAACCGATTTATCCGATTTTTTCTTAATGTCAAAATTTTAAATTGGTTTTTTTTTCAAATTGCAATTTTTCGAATAACTCGAAACCGGCTCTGGAAAAAGGCGAATAATCGACCATCCTAATACATAGTACATATGAAGGTACGTTACTTATACGCCATGGTGACCTTAGAACTACTCTTATTATATACTAGTCATTCATAAGCAGTCATGAAGAAATTTATTACCGGCCTACATATGTACATATGTATGTAAATATATGGCTTATGTCTTCCGCGCTTTTGTATGTACATCGTTTGCCGTTGCACACAAAAAACTATTCCAGCGACTAGGGGACGACATTGTATTTTTGTAAAACAAACCATACATACACATTAAATTTTGTTCCACTTATTCGCGATTCATAAATAAAATAAAAGCAAAGCAGTCATTGACTTGTCGAACGAAGATGTATGGTTAAAGAGAAATTCAAATGATTATAGTAGCAAAAAATATCAAAACTCAGACTAATAGCTCGATTCAGTAATTTAAACTTTTTCATATATTTTTCCGTAAAAAACACTGTGACAAGAATTTGTCACTAAAACAGAATAGAGCCGTAAATATAAGTATAAAAGTGTGTGCCCTTATAGAATGTCATTTCTGTTTAAGGTAGCCATTTGTATCCCTTACCATGCTAAACTGCAAACGGCAACAGTCATTTGAATGATTAACATTTGGCCTTGACGTCCTTACGGCGTACCTTATTTTAGTCTACCTATTTTATCATATTATTTTTCTTGCTTTTACCATTTTTTTTTTGCAATCTAAATTTGGATTGTCCCTCTCCTTGTTGATTGACACAAGCGCACCGTAATATGCGTTTTAATTAGCCAACGAACCGTTTTAATTAGCCAACGAACCGTAAAAAAATTCGAAGGACAAAATACATAGAATAGCAAGACAATATAAAAATCACAAAAAAAAACGCAGTAAAGTGTAACTCATTCATAAACCGCCAACGCTATGGCGCACGACTTTGTTGCGTCTATAACCTTAAAAAAGCCTTCATTGCCCTAAAAAAAGTTACTACAAGCACACTACAAAATTATTTAGTAAACGAGGAAAAGAAAAACATAAAATTTATCCCATTTCAGATGCGTAATATTATAGTGTGAGTAGAGCAGAACAGGAGTATACGAGTACATATGTATGTATGTACATTGTCTTGACCAATTAGTGTGGTTTTAATGTAAAAATACAACTGNAATATAAGTATAAAAGTGTGTGCCCTTATAGAATGTCATTTCTGTTTAAGCTAGCCATTTGTATCCCTGCCCTGCTAAACTGCAAACGGCAACAGTAATTATTTAATTTATGAATGCCAAAGTCATTTCAATGATTAACATTTGGCCTTGACGTCCTTACGGCGTACTTTATTTTAGTATACCTATTTTATCATTTTATTTTTCTTGCTTTTACCATTTTTTTTTTTACAATCTCAATTTGGATTGTCCCTCTCCTTGTTGATTGACACAAGCGCACCGCACCGTAATTACGTACTAGTTAATATGCGTTTTAATTAGCCAACGAACCGTAAAAAAATTCGAAGGACAAAATACATAGAAGAGCAAGACAATATAAAAAACACAAAAAAAAACGCAGTAAAGTGTAACTCATTCATAAACCGCCAACGTTATGGCGCACGACTTTGTTGCATCTATAACGTTAAAAGCCTTCATTGCCCTAAAAAAGTTACTACAAGCACACTACAAAATTATTTAGTAAACGAGGAAAAGAAAAACATAAAATTGATCCCATTTCACATGCGTAATATTATAGTGTGAGTAGAGCAGAACAGGAGTATACGAGTATGTATGTATGTATATTGTCTTGACCAATTAGTGTAGTTTTAATGTAATAATAAAACTACTATTTACTCACACAATATGTATTGATTTTAGCAAATTATGATTTTATTAATAAATTTCCAAACCTTCCGAAATTCCTTAGCCTTACTCGAACTAGAGGGAATTGCGTACCCCCATTCGCGCTGTATGAATAATTGCCACATAATTGCCGCAGAAGCTTTGTCATAAATGTCATTTATTATTATTTTGACATAACCATGATATGCACTTAATATTGAATGAAAATCCTTGTGACATAGAAGCATTAACATATTTATAAAGGAATACATATGAAGTATGGTAGGAAACAAAAAATCAATTTTGTGTACTTATGACTACCGTAAAAAAATATTTTGTCCCAATTCAGTGTCATTCGTGTATTCGTTGGAGCTTTTCTTGTCACAAAATTTAGAGCGGAGCCCCTTTCTTCATTAAATAAATGGGGACATGTTCATAGTCAAAATAAAATCTACACTTAAATTAATTGCAGGTTTTTGACATAATTTTTAATCGAAAATCTGTCAAAAAAGCTGCTACTATCTTTATAAACGACTTTATTTTAACTACGAATATGCTCGTTTGAGTTCAACTTAAGAGAACTTGTATAAGAATAAAAATAAAAACGCAGTCAACTTTTTCCTAATAATGGCATTTTAATTAAAATTTTTGGGAACTTTTTAAGGTAGTTGAAAGTTCATTTGAATAGCTCAGCTAGTATGTTTCGATAAATTTTGGTCTGGATGGCACCATGGAAATGGTTTTTTCTTCTGTCATGATTTTGGACTTTCTTTCAAAGATTTTTGTTTAATACGTGGCTATTCGCAATTCTTATACATAATTTTTTCAATATAGAACAATCTTAAGGGGTTAGAGCATTAAAATTGGGACTTTACTTTTTCACATGCATTTTTGGACCACCCTAATGTGCAATGCCTGCAAAATGGGAGCAAATTATTTACCTCCAAAAATACCCGTATGAGACTAGTTTCTTCTATAAATGCGCAACTGTACCCGATTGAGACTTACCCTGGAATACTTTCTTTAGAGGTTCGTCGTACAATTTTTTGAGGAAATATTTTAATATATTCATAAAAAAAAAATCCATTTCCCTCATTGTATGTATTCAGGTGAAAGTACACACGTTTTCAATAAATAACAAATTTAAGCGTTGCATACATTCTTCTACACATACATAGTTATGAAATTGAAAAGCGGAAAGAGGAAAGCACAAACATTTTGCAGAAAAGTAAAATAAATGTTGACGACTTTGAGCTGCAAGCAATTTAGGTATTCGAAAGCANATAAATTTCCAAACCTTCCGAAATTCCTTAGCCTTACTCGAACTAGAGGGCATTGCATACTCATTCGCGCCGTATGAATTCGCATAATTGCCACAGAAGCTTTGTCATAAATGTCATTTATTATTATTTTGACATAAACATGATATGCATTTAATATTGAATGAAAATCCTTGT